TTCCTCGCCTTGGCTTCCTTTCTTAGCACTTTTTTTGGTTTTATAGCCTGTTTTTAAGAGCAGTCTTAAGTTCACAGCAAAATTGGCTGGAAAGTACAGAGAGTTCCCACAACTCCCGAGTCTTCACAGGCACAGCCCCCGCCTCTGTCAGTGTCCCCACCAGGCGGTGCCCTGTTACAAGGAGCGGATCTGCCCGGACTGTCGTCGTTGTCACCAGAGCCCGTAATTTACATCCGTGCCTCTCTCGTGCGTTCCTCGGATTTGGACAAACGTGCAGTGAGCAACACGTACCCGCTAGAGTTCCCCGGCCCAGACGTTCCCTGGGCACCGCCTGGTCCCCGCTTCCCCACGACCTCGCCGGCTCCGTGCTTCTGTGCCAGACGTCAGGGTCCGGTGGCTGGAACCACACGGGGCGGAGCCTTCTCGGGCTGGCTCCGTTCGCTCAGTGCGCGTCTTCCCGTGGCGCGGTGGCTCTTTTCATCGCTGCATAGCGCTCCCTGTCTGGACGGACCACAGTTTGTCCACCCGCTGTACGACGTCGTGGTGTGAAAGCTTCGAGTTTCTCACCAAGTATGATGCTCGCTGTAGGTTTTTTGTGGGTTTTCTTTATCAAGTTGAAGTCTCTAAAGTTCCTGAAAATTTTCATCATAACTTGGTGTTGGAATTTGTCAAATGCTTTTTCTGCATCTAGTGATAGGATCGTGTGATTTTTCTCGTTTAGCCTGTGGACGTGATGGAGTCCATTAACATTTTTCAAGTGTTGAACCACCCGCGTGGTGGATTGTCCTTTTTAAACGTCGTTGACGTAATTCGCTAGCATTTTGTTGAGGATTTTTGCACCTTCGTTCCTGGGAGACGCTGCTCAGTAGTTCTGTAGTGCCTCGAGTTTGGTATTGGGGCGATGCCGGCCTCACAGGAAGTGTCCCCCCTGCTTCCGTCCCTGGAAAAGATCACACAGAGGGCACCGTTTCTCCAGTGTTTGGTGGAGTTCCCCAGTGAACCTGCCTGGGCCTGGTGCTCCGTTTGGGAAGGGTATTTAATGATCGATGCCGTTTCTGTCACAGGTAAAGGCCAGTACAGGTGGTTTGTGTTTATTTCTTCTCGTGTGAGTTTTGGCAGATTGAGTCTTTCAGGAATTGGTACATTTCACCTAGGTCAGAATGCGAGCATAGACTTGTTTTGGGTATTTATTAACTTTTTAGTGTCTGTGGGATCAGTGGTGATGTTTCCTCTTTCATTTCCGATATTAGTAATTTGTTTTTTTTTAGTTAGCCCGGCCAGAAGCGTATCAATATTACTGATTTTTTCAAAGAAGAACCAGCTGCTGGTCTCATTGGTTTTCTCTATTTCCCATGTTCAGTTTCACTGATTCTGCTGTAATTTTTATTTTCCTCCGGCTTGCTCAGGACTTATAATTTGCTTTCCTTCCAGTTTCCTGAGGTCACAGCCTAGCGATGGACTTTATGTCTGTCTTTCTTTTCTAACACATGCATTCGATGCTATAAAGTCCTTGTTTAATTTCCGAGGACTGACGGATCTTTCTCAGCGATTTCTAGTTTAATTCCATCGTGATCTGAAAGCAGACACCGCGTGATGTCTGTCCCTTCACATTAGTTCAGGTGCGTTTGTGGCCCACAATGTGGTCTCTGTTGGCACAGCTTCCATGGCAGCGGGAGAAGGTTATCCCGCCGTCGGGGGAGGCGGCCTGTCGCTGGCCCGTGTGCCCGGCCGGATGCCGCTGCCGCTGCCGCTGCCGCTCAGCTCAGCTGCGACCTCGCCGCTTTTCCGTCTGCCGGACGCGCCTGCTTCCGTGGCGGGCGCCGGAGGCCGTGGCCGTGGCGGCGGGCTTTCTCCCTGCAGCTCTGTCGCCTCTCCCCTGCCGCGGGTGGGCGCTCACACACGTCGAGCCTTGTGGTGTTTTCCTGGAGAATCGGCCGCTTCACCATCACGCGGCGCCCGTCTGTCCCCTTCTGTCCCCGTCTGTCCCCGTCTGTCCCCTGCTGACTTTCTTTGTCCCCAGGTCGCTGCGTCTGATGATAACGTAGCTCTCGCCACTTCCTTCCGTCTCTGCCGACGTGGGATGTCTCTCTCTCCACCGTTTACCTGTCGGCCACCTGTGTCTTTCCGTTTAGAGTGGTTTCTCGCGGGCAGCATGTGCCGGGCCTGACGGTCTGTCTGAGCTGGTGCGTTTGGGCCGCTGAGCGTCAGCGATGGCTGAGGAGCTGGGTAACGGCTGCCACGTCGTTCCTGCCTCCAGTCGCCACCCTCGGTCCTCGTCCTGTTCTCGTCCGTGCCCTTTTTCTGCCGTCTGAGGTTCTGATCGAGCCCTTTACGATCGCGCTTTCTCGCCCACAGCGTGTCGGCCACACTGTTTACTGTTTAGTGGCCGCCCCAGAGGTTGGCGCGTTCGCAGCGTCCAGGGCCCCTTCCAGGTACCGGCGGTTCCCAGTAGATGACGCGCGCGCGTTCTTGGTGGCAGGGTCCCTGGTCCCCCTCCGTCCCTCGTGCCAGTGCTGGCGTCCGTTCCACTCTTGGAAACTGTCAGCGCCGACGACGCCGGTGCCGTGGGTGTGTGGAGCAAAGTGCTGCGCGCCAGATTAGTCGAGAACGAGAAGATTCCTTCGTCCTCCCTCCGCTTGTCCCTTCTCCGGTGCGTTTCTCCTTCGTGCGGCTGCGACCTTCTGACCTGTGTCGTTCTCTCCCTGGAGAACTTTGAACGTCCCCTGCGGGGCAGATGCGTGGCAGAAACCTTCGCCGGTGTCCGTGAGTCTGAGGGAGTTTGTCTCCCTCCCGCTGCAGGTGACTTTTGGGGGCGTGGGACTCCGGGCTGGGGGCGTTTCCGGCGCTTGAAACGCTCCTCTCCTCTCCGTTCTCGCTCCGCGGCTTCTGAGACGTCAGGTGTCGTGCGTCCCTTCGCCACCGCGGGCCAGGGCTTCAATTCCGCGGCTGCTTCCGGGACTTCGCCTCGGTTTTCTGCAGTTGGATGAGACGTAGCTCATTCTAGACCTCGACGCGGAGGGTGAGATGCGCGTTCTGGGCACCAGGCCCCGCGGGGCAGATGGTTCTGGAAGTGGGGCCCGGCCTGGCCCGGCGGTGCCGTGACACTGTCCTTCCCGCCGCACGTCTGCAGG